TCTGGTTGGCTCGGGGGTCTCCTAAAGTAGCTAACAGGTACCAGCCAGTCAAAAAGGTTTCAGCTGCGACATGTTGCGGAAGCTGAAACTCGGGCATAAGAGAAATTCAGACAGACTATGGAGAAGGACTTTCAGTTGACTTTGAGGAAGTTCTGGCAAATTGTTCAACGCCTCAGGAAGGGGAGGCCGGGCTTCGTCAGGCTGTGGACAGTCGAGGGGGAGATCTGCTGATGTTGGACCTGTTGTTTTGCAGCTCCTGTGACTGGATGAAACCATTGAAGCTAAACCAATAATCAACAAACTGACAATAATTCAAATGCTAAATAGCCGCATGACCAAAAGTATGTGGACAGCTTTACATAGATAAGTTTGGTCAAGTCTACTTACCATAAGTTTAGGATTCCTCTGTTGCTCACTGATTTACCCATTTTGATTTGCTGACTTTTCTCGGGTCTATTTTATTTCATTTTATTCTGCTGTACCTGTGTCTTTATTATGCTAAAGAAATAAGTTCATCTGGCATTACAACCAGCGCTCTACTTTGTGTTTTGTACGACTGACGACATCAGGGCTTATACATGTTGACACTGTTGTAGTTTTATTATATATTTTTAACGTCCGTACTAAGATGTGTCCATTGACAACACCATTGAGCCCTAGTGATTTTGATTTTGAACACATCGTAATTAATTTTGAATGGTTCCAGACAATTTTGCAAGTAAATTTGGACAAGTACGGATGCATGAAGACTCTCGTGTTTAGTCTAGTGGGTAACAATAAAACATTGGATGAGTTTAGCTCGTAGCTCAGACTTTTGGAGTTTAGCAGAAGCACCAGTAGAAAGGAAATGAAAACGGTGGTTTGTGAGCCAGCTGCTTTTTCTAATTGGTTCGCCTGGAAGCAGTCGAGGGGCGGGGCTACACAGAGTTTGAGCTGTTTGTCAGGTGTGAGGGAACACGGCTAGCTATGAGGCTAACTAGCTTTTAACCACAAAACAGGAAAACTTGACTTTCTCAACTAATAATCTGCTGCTAAACTCCCACAATGCTCTCTGCTGCCACCATGAGCTGTAGTCTGAGTGACGCCTCCTCTGGTCTCTACAGGATGAAACAGTGAGAGGCTCCACCTGGTGGAACAACCAAGTACTACAGCTGGTCTATGGTGCATTTACTGACATCATGACCTCCTTCTTAGGCATTATCAGTTACTGTAATTTCTGGACTGTAAGCAGCTCCACCTGGTGGAACAACCAGGTTCTGCAGGTCAGAGATTTTATAATGCATATCTACAACGTCATCCTGACAAGCTGAAAAAAACCCCAAGAGAGATATCTGGAAAGCTGTTTGGAGTGGGGAAATGGATTTTCACCAAATGGGACCTTCAAAAGGTTCCATTCTCCGTCCTTGCTACCGTAATATCCGGACTATAAGCCGCTACTTTTTAAAAACGCTTTGAACACTGCGGCTTAAACAATGACGCGGCTAATTTATGGATTTTTTATGATTTTTACAAATTTGCCTCAAGAACAAAGTGACGCTGAGAGTAACGACGACAGAGAGACTGAGGAAGTGTGTGACTGTGTGTGTCTGAAGCTGTTCAACTCCGACACTGAAGAAGACGACTTTAGTGGTTTTAGTGCAGGAGGAAGATGAAGATAGCGATCGATGACTTTTCCTGGTAGGATGCTGTATGTTTCTATTTTCTGAACCAGCCGTGTTACAGGTACTGTTCGGAAAAAAAGCATTTGCAGTATTTATGTACGTTACCGGTACGTATTTAATTAAAAGTTTAAAACATCTTTCTGTGTAA